GGTTAAATAATGTATGTGTGGATGACGAAAATTTATAGGGTTGCCAACTGTCCAAAATTATAATCCCAATTTAATTAACAAGGTAGTTGAATATTTTAAAATGCAGATATCAAACGACGGAGGTTTAAGAAAGTTTTGTTTCAAAAATATTTTTAATGGGTGCTCCGACTTCTTTAGAAATTCAATATCAATTTAACTTAAAAGTTAAATACAATATTTTAATAATTATTTTTAAAATTATTTTTACCAAGTATTCCCGGAATTTAAGCGACAAGTTAAATAAAATCCTACTAATATCATAAATGTGAAAGTTTGTTAACGAGTGTGTGAGTAAGGCTGTTTATCTTTCTTTGTATAAAATTTGGCACACAGATAGCTTATGACAAGAATTAAAATATAGCATTATTTTCAAATTATAAGTTCACCATTAAAATATTTATTGCAAACGGATGAGGTTTACGGGGCTTTTTTTTGAAAATATCGGGAACAGGGTTGCCACATTATTAACTCCATCCCATTCAAATCCCATTTATTCATAAGTGAAATAAAGTTTTACTATATGGATCTCAATCAAATGAGGTTCAAGAAAGCTTTGTTTATAGAATATTTTTTATAGGGTTGCCACCTGTTAAAATGTAAAATTTTATTGAATTATTAAGCTAAAAATAACCCATAAAATTATCTTTAAACTCTTTCAAAAATTGTTATGTGTTGCGTTTGGGATGATCGAAAACTCGAACGCAAATACATACATACATATCGTTACCTTAACGTGAAAAGCTGTCAATGTAATTTTTTGACCTTGTTCAGGAGAGACGAAAAATCGATGCAGTTTTGCATTAACTGTCATTCTGCAGCAAGAACTAAATTTCGAAAGAAATTATATATGTTTGTATATACATACGAGTATTCAGATACGACCAACTAATTGCAACGAAAGTCAAAATGATATTGTTTGCGAATTATGTTTATTTATTTATTTTTTTTAATAATTTTCATTTGAAATATAATTCAATCTGTAACAGAAACCACAGTAATAAAAGTTTATAAGTTTGCTTAAATAGCAAAAAAAAAATTAATCTAACTTCAAAAAGTTGTCAACAAAATTTCAAAATTTTTAATTAGAATATTTAGTATGCAGTTTTGTAGCCCATGCAATGACATGACATTGGCTATGATGACAATTTTGGTACTAAAAACTGAAACAAAACATGGCTTACCTCGTAGTTTGTTTACCTATTTTCACAGTGGGTATATGAAAAAAAAAAACAGCAACCCTCCACAAAAAAAAAAAAAAATAAAAAATCAACGGGAATATTTAACGACTTGAAACTTGCACTTTCTTATACCACAATTGAATGGGCTAAAAAATTGCATGCCCGAAAATTGTCTAAATATTCTAATTAAACATTTTCGTTGCTAATTAGTTGACAGTAGTATTCACAAAAGTGTGCTTTGCTCACAGAAGTTGTAGATCGCTACTCCAGTGTAATATTATTCAAATATAAATTAAGTATTTCACACTCATCTACCTCTTCTAAGTGGGTATATGAGGGCTTTCGAAATATTCCAGTGAAGCATAACTCATACGCAATGTCTACCCCATTGTGCTTGTATTTTACTCCATCTTCAATTTTCGCAAAGCAGCCACTTTATATACTATTTCAAAATTTTGAATATTTATGTTTCCAAACTAAATTGCGTGTCGTAAATTCGACTCGAACTCATTGTCGAGTGTGCCAGAAAAATTGGCAATGCGAAAAGTTTTCCTCGTGACGGCAACTGACATTTATTTCTCAGTAATAATTTGGTTGCTAAACTGAAGTACATACATACATGCATACATATGTTCGAAGAGAATCCTGAATGACAAAAGTGGCGATGCCAAACTGCCATATGACTTTGGTTATTTACATGCAACCACATGCATGCCCAACTGTGCGTTTTTCGTGTGTGCGTGCGATCATGTGTTCCTGTTCGTATTTGTGTGCCTGTGCCATTTCCGCATTTGCTGCTGATGCATTTTTATTTCTTATCTGTGCGATGCTATTTTTAACTTTTTGACTCGACACAAAGGGCTAACGAAATCATAAACTTTGTGTGAAGAGCCAAAAATATGACCATTTTTCTGAGACAATCAACCCAAAATCGAATAGCACACACACTAACACACAAAAAAGCGTATGAGTATCGAGCAAAAAAAAAAAAAAACAACAACAACAAAAAAGCCATTTGTGTAAAGTGTATGATGCGCGCAAGTGACGTTGATAGTCGCTGGCAACAAATTTGCTGTGCTGCTCAGTTTTTGGCGATGACCATTTTCTGACACTGATTGCTCGTATATAAAAATGTGGTAAAATGTTGAAATGTTAAAAGCCATATAAATACAAAACAAGAGGAGGAGGAGAAGCATTATTTTGTGGCAGCCGCCAAAAATGCATAGATCGACTATGAGCAGCAGCAAGCTGGCAAAAATGGCCGTTGTAAAAAAGCAAATTGGCAGCACAGTGACTACTCTGTAATTTGGGCATTTGCTGTGTGGTGCTCTTGTTTGGAGTTCACCCTTCTGCTGTCATACATTTAGATACAGTTTTTATAACAGTTATTACTGTTATTTCCACGATGTTATCCATTGGCATTGTTCGCTTAATGCACTTGGCTTTTTGTCAAAAAGCTTTTAAATGGCTGCGGTTTTTGCTGTTGCGGAGTCATTGTCAGTCATATTGTACTTTAGGCGCGCGCTACTTACTTGATGGCGAGATAAAGTTATGCTGACATTTGAGTTCAAAGCAGTGCTTCGAGTTAGTTTGCTTGATGAGTTTAGCCAAAATTTTGGCGAGGTATTTAAGTTTTTTGAATGACCGAAAATTCGCGTTCAGCTTTTACATGGGCAAATTTTTCTGTTTTGCTGTTAAATTATCAAAATATTATGAAATATGTTTTAATATTTTTTTAATTTTTGTCCAATTTAGAATACCAAAAATTTATATTCAATTTTTAATTTAGCAAAATTGATGGCCTGATTTTATGTTACAAAAGATATAGCATGTTCGAATGTTAAATTACCAACCAATTATTTCTAGTTTTTAATTCACTATGCGGAGCGAGACCCTCGCAACTTAAAAAAAAAAGAGAGATTTGCCGAATATTTTAGGCTACACATCTATTATTCGTACACCGATCTTTGACGTTTAGTTGAAACTTTCAAGCTTTTTCTACCGAAGTCTTCAGACAAACTCAGAATAGACCTTTTAACTCTTGCGCCTTTAACGTTTCAAGAAAGAGGTGCTTCCTGTATCAGCATTTTTTAGGAGTAGAGTAGATGAACTATTTTTTTGGAAAACTAATTTCTTTTGGCTTTAAAAAAGTTAACCCCTGCACTAGTTTTTCTTTTCTCTTCTCTATGTGTCTACATAAGGGTAGTAAAAAAAAAGTAAAATCGGAATTTTAATGCTCTCACTCCCTAGGATTGTTATATATCGAAAAATAATATACCCCAATTTTTTTTATTTTGAAACCAAAAAATATTTAATGGTCACTCAAAGCGCTCAAAGCTTTCCATGTATTTTATATGGGGGAAAAAAACAACTTTTCGTAGAAATGGTATAGAATTCTTGAAAATCAATATTTCGATCGGAAAATCCTGGTTCTCTTCAGGAGATTCCCTAAAATAATAGCCAATTGTTTATTTAACCATTGAAAATCAAGAATTCTATATTATTTCCACGAAAAGTTTGTTTCCCCCATATAAAATATATGGAAAACTTTCAGCGCTTTGAGCGACCTCTAAACAATTTTTGATTTCAGAATAAAAAAAATAGAGGTTATAATTTTTTTTTTTGGGATAGAACATTCCTAGGAGGTGAGAGCATACAAATTCGGACTTTACCTATTCACATGCATTTTTGGACTAGCCTAGTGTACATATATACCTGTATATTACTAAACAAAAGCATGTGAACATCTTTTATCAACAAATGTAAACTAGGATGGCGCATCAACAAAGTAATGGAACATCAACAAACGATTTCAACAAAAAATAGTCAGCTCAAACGAAACATTGATAAAAGAGCAAGTGAACCGTAAATGCTTGCATATATGTGTACATACATATGTATGTAGCGTATACATATGCATGAGCGTATATGCGATTCAACTGAAATGACCTTATAAGAAAAGGAGAAAATAAATAGTCAAATAGGGGCGGAAAAAAAGACAAACAAAGATCAACAATCCGCTTTTTATTCATTCAAAAGCTGAAATAAAATTCATGAAATTTTTTTTTAAAGTGACCTTTCATATGCATCACTCATACGCCATGTGTGCCCTTCAGTTGGTGTCTATTAAACTGGTTTCTTTAGTATTTGATATGTATGCATGTGTGTGTGTGTGTAAATATATGTACTAAATATATAAATTTTGTATTTGCTGCGGCATTGAATATGCAGCAACGCATATGGTGAATGTCAACTATTACATAGATATTTGCACGTATTTGTAGTTCTATGTAGTTATTTAGCATTTTATTTCTATTGTGAAAAAATATTGCTCTAAAAATTGCCGACTCGATTGGCAGCTGCCGCAGCAACCATATAAAAACTTCAAACGCTGCCATTGGCCTTTGTTGTGGTCGCTTAGTGCGAACGACATTGAAACTACAAATACTACATCGTTGGTACTTACTATGAATATTTTTATTTGTTTTTAATTTTAGTTTTGTGTGCCTTTTATTTATGTTTTTGACTTGAGAATCGTTAGCTTTTTTTGTTGTGTTATTTGTTTTAGTCATTATTTTATTTTACATCCTGTGTAAAGTTTTAAAGTAGACATGCGTTTTTTTGTTGAGCTGGAAGGCCTTGAAAGCGGACTGGGATTGCATATAGCAAGCATTTTTTTCTGACAATTAGCTATCACTTTATGATAAAAGATATCCTTTTTCAAGCTAAAATTTTCACAAAGTCTTTATAAGTATTTATGTTTGCTTTATTTTCAACTTGCAGCTCCTACTACTGTTCATGCTTTCCCGGCTTTAGTGGCACCGATTGTGGACGTGGACCATTGTGTGAGGATCCCCATACGAATATCTGTCAAAATGGCGGCACATGCAAGTGAGTATATGTTTATGAACTAAAAAGTATGATTAGTTTTGGGTCACAGTTTAAAAAGGAAACAAAAAATTTGGGTACTATTTTTATTATAAATATTTTGTATTCATACTAAGAGTATATGAAATTTGTGACCAATCTCGCTATCACTGACCCTTGTCCGGTGACACTGGCGTTTATTGACAGGCAGGTTAGACAATTTTATTTTTAATATTCGCACTAAATTGTCAGTGAAGTATAAATATGTTGTTGTTCAAAGAAGCGTACTAATATTGCAATTGACATTAATTGACGAATTTTGTTTTTAATAAAGTCACTCATACGCCATGTAGATCTACTCCATTGCCCATGTGAGGGATGGTTAATGAGTTTTTGGAACAGGGAGCTCAATCAAGTTAGCGGCGCTAAAATGAAAAAATGAAGAAAAAATTTGTTCGTATTATTGTGCTCATTGTGTGCTATTTTCGGCCACTTTTCGTTTTTTTTTGTGCTCCGACCATTTGGTAAATAATTAGGACTTTGCTAAGTTAACCGTNGGTGACTCTAAAAAGCCCAAAAATAGCACGTAATTCCTCAATACTATTTATCCGTGTTCGACCAAAGTTTAAGAAGTGGGTTAGCTAGCGTGGCGTCAAACGGTTTTTCAGTGTTAACCGGGCAATATTTTTAAAGCCCATAAAAAGCACAAAAAAATAAGCCCAGAAAAGTAGTAAAAATACTTCATTGAATGAATGTTTTGCTAAGTTACGGTTAACTTAGCAAAGTCCTAATTATTTACCAAATGGTCGGAGCACAAAAAAAACGAAAAGTGGCCGAAAATAGCACACAATGAGCACAATAATACGAACAATTTTTTTCTTCATTTTTTCATTTTAGCGCCGCTAACTTGATTGAGCTGGAACAGGGTTGTGTTTTATTTAATTGGTTGGTTTGGTTGAAATAATATTTTTACACAAATTCACATCTGCAGTAGTGTTGCCCTTTATTTGAACAAATTAAAACCAACCAGATAAACAGGTGATGAAAATGTGGCCATGCTGGCATTAATAAAAACTTAGATTAGATGCGCTTGGAAAACATTGTTTTAAAAATTTGATTTAAATGGTTTACCAACCATTTGAAAATTTAAAATTAAGTAACAAAATTGAATTTGAAAAATAGTTAAAATAGCTATCAACTGAACGGTATTGCCGGAAAATTTAGAATAAAAATAATTTCTATGGATAGGGTTGCCACCTGAACTTTTTTATGAATAAACCACATAAAATTATAAGGATATCTAACACACGGCTGTTTAAAATCGTTTAATCTGAAAAGTCCCTAAAAAGAGTTGCCGTATAAATACGAAAAGATTATTGATTTAGAACTTTTTTATTGGAGTTGTCACAACGGAGGCTGCCATCCAACTTAGAAATTAAAGGTATTGTATGTAAGCACACATACTAAAATTTTTAATAATCTTTCAAATGAAATGGATGGACTGTATTTTGATTCAAACATTTTGTTCATAGGATTGCGACGCATCAAAAACAAATAATAATATTGTTAGCTCAATGAAGTAAAGCAGTAAAAGACATTATTATTTATTAGTAGGATTGCCACTAAACCCACAAATATGAATGATGAACGTACGTAAAGTAACTGTCTTAGAGAAATTTCCAAAAAAAATTATAAAGTGGTTTAGATATGAGCCATACATTAGATGGCGTAAAATCTTTCTCAATCGGACATCGTCTGAAAATTACAAACAAATTTGTTTCTTCTCTAAGAAGGTACCAGTCGCTATGACGTTAGGTAGGGAAAACATTTGTTATTATTTCTTGCAAAAAATGGCAGTGGTCGGAGAAAATGACATGAATTTTCAGGAAAGTAATTAATTAATTAAAGTCATGTCATAAATACGAGGCACTGCAAACAATAGTATAAAGAATTTCAGCCAAATTAATCAAGCAAAAGAAAAAAGTACCGCCTTTCTGCAATCTGCACTTCTAAGCGCTGTAACTTCCGAATTACTTTAAATTTCGCAATGGAAAATATAAAAAACCATAGCAATTTTTGCGTAAAAAACAACCGTACAAACACGCTGTTTGACAGCTCATTGCATGCAACATTTCTCATGCGATGAGCTCTGATATCTGAAATCTGCGATGAGCGGCCTCCATTTCCAATATATCCTATGAGTCGAATCGCATGAGAACGGCGTTCGCATGTCGAGACAGGGGGTTGCTAAGTCGAGTTCTGCTATTTGTGTTGCCGGAAAAGAGGTGCCGTAGTATTTTTGCGCAGAACTTCTTTTTGAGGATTAAAAATGTTCGGAAAATTATAAATTCATGTATAACGACTATTTTTGATCGAAAAAATAAAAATCATATACAAACGATTAAAATTTATCGAAAAGTAAAAATTACACAATGGCTTACGATTATTTTTAATCGAGAAAAAAAAAACGATTTTTCAATGATCTGAAAATAGAAATCCAAACAAACAAATGTGTTTCTCGCTGTTTAATCAAAACTGTTTCACGATTTTTTTTTTTTTTTTTTTGTAACGAGCCTTATTTGACAGTTTCCTCTTGTATATATACAGTTTGAACTTAGCTCGAGATATTCTTCGAGTAGTTCGTGGAACAAACCTGATATTCTTATTTAAGCTCTCTCTCATTCTAAAAATCAAACTTTTGTATTTTATTTTTGCAATATTTATGACCGTGAAAAGGTTTACTAAATAGAACTCAAAAGCCGACTTTGTAGAAAAAAACTTCCTCTCCTGAAAAGAGAAATACTATAAAATTTTTTACAACGAACACTTTGTGTATACAATTTTCCATGCAAATTTATCGAATTCTTTATTCAAATGACGAGAGTAAACTTAAAAATACAAATTTCCAACTAAATACAACTAAAATTTGCTTTTTGCTCTGCAGAGTTGCCTTGAAAGCTGCGAAATTATTTCGCCTTTGTACTTCAAACACTTGGTACAATTTATTGCGCGTAAATTTGCATAAACAAAGTAAGTGTGAGAAAGCAAATTGGAGGTAAAGTGAAAACCAAAATGGCACATGAAACAATTTCAAAAGTTTGGTACAATGAAATATTCATTAAAAAGCAAAAGTCGAGCAAATTATAGTTGAAAGAGGTTGAGCAACTGAATAAGAGGTTGATTTAAAAACAGTGAGCATTTTGGGATGCAGGCAGATGAAGAGAACTGCGCTGATCAAATGAAGAAAGGAAGAAAAGGTAGGAAAAAATGAAAGAAAACTGCAGAAAGCTTAATAGTGAAAAGAAGTAAGATGAAAGGCTGAAATAACGGTGAATATGCAGATGATGAGCACTCAAGTAAGCGGATATATGGAGTACAAAGAATTGGAACTGCAAGTAAGGCCACGAAATCGCTTTCGTTTTATGTTTTAAGGAAAAGTGTGCAAAAAGTATGGCGCTGAAAAATTGTTCAGTTGCACATTTTTGGCTTGAATTTACGCACTGTATGCTCTTTCGATGGCCTTTTTTATTTGTAGTTTTGGTTTTCCATACTCTTTTGTTGCCTCTGCTTCCGCTTCACACAGCGCCAGTTGACATTGACTTGTTTGCGTGGGCTTGCCATGTTACGCCTTGCCTTTACTATTGGTTTCGATTGGGTTCTGCTTTTAAACAATTTCACTGCTTGCCACAATCTTACACGTCGGCTTATTACTTCCTCTACTTTGGTTTATTCTCTCCATTTTATTTCGTATTTGTTTTCGTTTTTTTTTTCTTCTACTTTTTGGCCACTTTTCACACACCAACATTCTCAGATATTTACACTTGTGGCGCAGCATTCTATTTATTTAAAAAAGTTAAAATTCGTACTTGTAAATATTTAATTTCAAGTTCACACAAATTCACACATATTTACTTACATAAATTAAATCTGAATTGACTTTCTTTGTGCCGCCAAAGGTCGAACAAACACTCACCTCAACTGTGCGCTTGGCAGAAACACGACGAGAAAAAAATTCGATGATACTAACCATTTTATATTTTTATGCGCACCGCCTGCTCAAAAATTTTCAATTGTTTCTTTTTTGTATTTTTTGCAGTTTATTTCCAACTTTCGCCGCCTTTCGAAAATTGTATTGCCCCCCTTTGACATTGCTTATACGGCGCGTTGCACTAAATAAAACTCCCACCATTCAACTACTACAAATCCAGCAAGCTGCTCTTTTGTCATATTCCATTCCGTGTGGGTTAAATTAAATTGTAATAAAATTTTTATTTCCCTCCTCACTAAGGGCAAATGTGAAGCTGTAAATAAAAAATATATAAAATTGTATCAATGCATTACTGAATGTGCGTGTGTTTGTGGTGTGTGGTGGCCCAACAAAGTACCGCAGCGCAGCATCGCTCTTCGTGTGATATATGGCAAAAGTCAATTGTGCTGACAGCTTGTCAGCCCGTTGCCCTACTGACGACAATCACTTGCTCGCTGGTTGGCTGGTACGTTGGGTGCCTTTTGCCAACTGATTGACTGGCTGACTTTCGGAGTGCCACTCAGTCCGTCTACTCGCTGACAGACAGGCTGATGATATGTTGAGCTGCGTTTTATGGCATTTTATTCTATTTGCATGGATTCTTAGTGTATTTTTTCAGGTTTTTTACGGCAATCTTTGGGCTATTTTTTTGGGTTAGCATATGGTTTTGTTGGCAATTGAAAATTTACATTCCCTGTTTGGTCTGTTTCTTATAAAATCTCGCACACATACATAATTTCTTATTGTCACTCTTGGCGCAACATATTTACTTTAAATGTAAATAAGGAAAATTATAAGATTAATATTAGTTTGCATTTCCAGAGCATTTCACATTTGGTTTCTCGTGTTTCATAAAAGAGCATTTGCATATCTCTAATAAATATATAGTAGATACATATATAAATAAAAATATTTTGATGTTTTGCAACTCTGTTTGACTTCTGAGGTGAATAAAAGTGGCAAACAAATTTTGCAGAGCAAAAGAACAAAGAGTACAGTTAATCAAGGCAGTACTGAACAAAGATACTGTCGTTGTATTTTTATGCGCTTGATGATTATTCTTAGTTCAATTAGTTAATCCGGTTTTCCATTAATTACCTTATTTGATAATTTGATTATTTGATTAATCGCACATCCCTTATTGAAATAAAATAGCATACAATTAACTATTTGTTTCCTTTTTATTTCAAACGAATTTATAAAATAAATTAAGATTTAAATGAATAATTCTGAGGGCGAACAATAAATTACCAAAAATCTGAAAGGTGAAGAGAATACCGTAAAAGTAAAAAGTCCGAAAAAGTTTTGCAAACGTAGCAAAACTATGGATAAAATCTCGAAAATTATCCAAAAAACATGAAAAAATTTTGATAGAAATCATGAGACGTTTTAAGAACACTCGTCAGCATCGCATAAAGTTCGCAAAAGCCAACGTTTTTAGAAAAAAAATTTCTCATCATCATTTTTTCGACACAATGGCAACCATATTCATCGGCAATAAACCGGACTTTTTCCATATATTTGGCGATTATACCGAACCGATTTCAGTGAAAGGAAAGGTACTTCTTCTGTAAATGAGCAGAGTTTTTATGGTAAAAAATTTCGGTCAAAATCGTCGTTTAAAAAAATTCATCTTTGTGTATATTTATGTAGTTATTATTGCAACCTGTTCAATTTGAGTTGCTTTCGTGTTTTTTTTTACTTCGTATGTGAAATGCGAGTTCAACAAGGCCCGCCAGTCGCTTCTCTTCTGGGCCAACTGACGCCAATTGAAAATACCAAGTGAAGTCAAGTCCTTCTCCACTTGGTCTTTCCAATGCAGTGGGGGCCTCCCTCTTCCTCTGCCACCACCAGCGGGTTCCGATTTGAATACTTTCCGAGCTGGAGCGTCGGAGTCCATTTGAACGACATGGCCAAGCCGTGTCGCTGCACTATGTCTATGTCGTTGAAAAGCTCATACAGCTCGCCAACGCGAAAGGGTCCTAAATCTTCCGCAAAATCTCTCGAACACTCCAAGAGCCGCCTAATCGGATGTTGCCATTGTCCATGCATCGGCCCCATATACCAACACGTGCATTATGAGTGACTTATATAGTGTGGTTTTCATACGTCGGGAGATGACTTAACTCTTAAATTGAGTACTCAGTCCAAAGAAGGACTTGTTGGCAAGATTGAAATTTATAGGCACAGAAAATTAGTTGTCGAAATTTATGGAGAGTTATCGAGCTATGGAAATTTATGGGGTTATCGTAATGCATCGAGCAACCGGAACTCAAACATAGCAAGCAGCGAAGTGGCGAATCGATGGCGGTTTCCTAAGAACTTCGTAATGTTTAAGAAAATTTGGCGCAATAAATTTTTCTTGACTAATTCTTGGGCGTTTTTTATTCGTCGAACTAAAAAAATTTTTAAAATAGTGGCACAAAAATAGATTCGTTTTTTTTTTACCTGTAAACTTCAATTGCAGTTCTGCATATTTACCAATGTTTTAGTACTTATCTAAGCGGCTAAAATGGATGTTTTCTTGTTTGTTTTCTTCGGCTCAAATGTCTTAAAAAACTAGGAAAACGGTAGATTTTCGTTAGTAACTAGAATTCTTCGTTATCTTCTTGAAATATGAAATTTTTTGTTATGACGCACTGATATTTGTAAATAAAACGGAAACAAAATAAAAAAATAAAAAATAGATAGAGTATAGCATTTTTGATTGGTAACACTTTGAGCGACTACCCCTGTAGAGTCAAAAATTTCATGACTGTAATGGGAATGGATTGGTCTTAAAATCTAAAAATAAGTTGAATTGAAACCATTAAGTAATTGTGAACGTTGCCTTAGTAGGACCCAATTAGGACAATTGCAAGGAAAACTGCTTTAAAATAAATATTTGTTCACATTTCCCACGTTATTTTAACATGCGTAAATAACAATAAGGCAAGTAATGCACTTAAGTCCATAAAATAAAATATAAATTTAAGTAAAAAAAATATATATATATAAAAAGACTGTATTTACCAGCAAGCGAACTTCAACTCTGTAATCTCATTGGCACAAGGGCGACGAAGATTGGTTAATTTAAGCAATAACCACGGAAAAGTATATTTCACAGTCAAATAAGATATGTAAGCTGGCATGTTGCGAGCATATTTACATTCATATGTGTATATATACCAATATGAATTCACAAACATACATACATAATTATTCTATAATAAGGATATTTGCGTAAACGTTTAAATTTTACGACCCTTTTCTTCTTCTTCTTCTTCTTCTTCTTCTTGTACTTTTCAGACATATCGGCGATGCAGCCATCACATGCCACTGTCCGAGCGGTTTTAAAGGCACCAAATGTGAAATTCCGGAAATAAATGAAATAACAATGGGTAAGTGCGTTTAAGTACGAGTATGTGAGTGTTTGTGCGTTGAATGGTGTGCGTATGCCTGCATGTCCTTGTTGTAAGTAAATATTTATGCCTCGCTACATTAAGGCTCTCGGTTGAGCAACTTTTGTGAGTGCGTGTATCTGTTCCCTGCAGTGAAACGCCAAACCAGTTAGAAAAAATACTAGTTCATTAACTAGTATGTGCCTACCAGTTCGACAATTTCGGAGAACTTAGGCGATCAGCGACATCTGCCTTTGTATTGCCATAGCTAAAAATAAAACGCAATTGATTGCTTTTCTTACAAATGTCGGCTGTGGCGTCACGTGAAGACTACTGGTTCTGGTTCTGAAATCGCAGGTTCGAGGCCGCTTGGAGGTGGTTAAGATTTTTAAAGTTAAATAAATGTAAATAAAAATAATTTATTCAATTTATAAATAAATAGCAAATTTGAAAATCTAATTCCATTGCAAAAAAAAACTTTAGGGAGAAATGCTTGTGCTATAAAAACAAAGAAATTAAACAAAAATATTTTTTTTTATTAAATTTAGGAATTACAGTAAACAGCCTAAACAAAAAAATAAATTTATAAAAAATAAAAATAAAATAAAAAAAAAAGAACATAAAAAAATTTTCCCTGCGCCAGGATTTGAACCTGGGACCTCAGGCTTACCACGCGAGTGCTTTGCTCTGTCGGCCATTGTGACTGCTGGAGCGTCGCAAGCAAAAAGGCACACTTATGCTTTTCACGGGGCATGAATTGGCAGACTATCTCATCAACTGGTATGATGCTACTAGTATTTATACTAGTAGATGCTGATGCCTAGCCTGACAATTGACATCTCGTAGGACATCGCAATGTTAAAAATACCAGTCGCTAACATTGAAAAAGGATAGAACGTGAGCTAGTTGGGCTGAAACGCAAACTGGTAGAATTCTAGTTCACAACTAGTAGCTTTCCCTGCAGGGTTTGACTACTTTGCTTACATTTGTTGTTGTTATTGTTTTTGTTGTTATCCTTTTAATTGCAACCTGCGGTAAGGCACGTGTTGCTGCTGGTGTTAAAATTGATTGGCTTTAAAATTTCGACCAGATAATGTTCTCACTGTCGTCGGCAGTCAAAGCCAGACGCTTGACGCCAGAAGCGGTAAAATGCCGCAAGCTGTTTGTTAGCTGCTGTCAGCACAGCATTGTGACTTGTATTCTGTTGTCAGAACATTGCGAGTACCATGCCACTGTCGCTGCTGTGCTGTGAGAATTCCATAGCGGCCATGGTTGACCAGCGGCGTCTACCGAGACATTAAGGCGAAGTTACGTATACGCAGTGGAGTTTTTTTTTGTTTGTTTATTATTTAATTAAGGAAATAATTAAGAGCATTAAAATATATGTATGTACATGTATAAATATGCACGCGCATGTACATATGTACGCACAGTCGACTCATGCAGGTCAGTTGCATGGTTGATGCACGCACACGCTTGGGACAAAAATATTCATTGCGTATACGCCGTGTATAAGCCTGATTGTTATGCAAATATGTATGTATGCTTGTGCACTTCTGTGTTTGCGTATGCATTTACATGCATTACGCACATTCTCATTCGCTTGACTTCGCTCAAAATATACTTATATATATTCGACTTGCTCGTGAATTAAAGTCACAACATTAACATTAAAGAAAATTTTACGCCAGCGAACGCTCATTTCTTTAATTTTATTTCCCTGTTTGTTTGTTTATTTTCATTGAAGCGCATAAGAAGATTTATCGCAGGAATGAAAAACATACGCCGTACATTCAACTTACCCAACGTATGCGTTGATTTATGCAATACCATGTCTGTGTTTGGGCGAGAGCGTGTCGTAAAGCAATAAAGCACTAAAGTAACGAGTAAAGTCGAAAAGGCGATGAAGTGTGCGAATATGAATTATGTTTTCAATAAAAATATTTTCATAATTTTAATACTATGTATGTTTATAATAATGTGATAAATATGTGATGGAAAATCAGTAAATCAGATTTGTAAATACCACGAAAAATTACCACTTACGCTGATGCATGTTCACCTATTTAACGGAGGAAAAGAATATTCTCGCTAGGAGATCTCAATACTCAAATGCATAAAAATGGACTTTTGTAACGTTTACCTGTAGAGCCACATCAAGAGTTCGCTTAAATAAAAGCTCTTAAGTACAGTTGAGTGTCACGTTAAGCAATGAGTGCAACTGACAAAAAGCGATTGAATATGAAATGTTGCACTAAACGACAATTTATAGCTTCACACAATTTTGAAGTTAGAAGAAAAGCGAAAAAAAAAACGTTTGCCAGCGATGAAAGCGCTTATTCTGCTGTAAGACAACCTACCAGCAGCAGTAGTGCAGCGTCATATGTCAAGTATGACTATGCGATGACAGGTGGGAAACATATCGAATCACAGGAAAAATGTGCACATGAAGTGGCAAAAAATTGTAAAGGAACGTGTATAAACTACCCAAAAGAGAGTGTAAAGCAAGTGCCGAAAGGGTACTTGTCATCGTAGTGGAAAAGCACTGTTACTTGGCAACTGCTGTAAAGATTTTCTAGAAGTAGCACACAAGTGTACTACGACGGAGATTTTCTGTAATAATAACTTGTAGTCGGTTGTGTGGCTTGCGTGAACATACACATTCAGTCTTAAGTTACATACATACATACCTACATATGTACATATGTATGCAGTGTGTATACTATAGAAGTTTGTAAGAAAATTGAAATAACAAAACAGAATCCAAAACACTTGATGCAACAACGTTCAATGCTGCTTACTTGCCAAACACATGTGTCCGTCGCCACTGACTATCAACAGCGGGTTTTCTGGATTGGTCGCTTGCGTTGCTGAAAAAACATAATATGTACATTAGGGTGGCCCAAAATAAGTAAAGTCGGAATTTTTATGCTCTCACCCCCTGAGAAACAGGGTTTCCCGGTCGAAAATATTGGTTTTCAAGAATTCTATACCATTTCTACGAAAAGTTATTTTTTCCCCATATGGAATACGTGGAAAACTTTGAGCGCTTTGAGCGACCTCTAAATATTTTTTAACTTCAAAATAAAAAATAGGGGTAAATTTTTTTCGGTATAGAGCAATCCTAGGGGTTGAGAGCATAAAAATTCCAATTTACTTTTTTTTTTTTTACATGGAGTTATGGACCACCCTAATGCACATACATGTGTACATACAGCGTGGCACGTGAGCGCAAATACATACATATCTTGGTTACATACGTAACCAAGAGTCACCGTTGGTTGAATGAAAAGTTGGTAGAAAGCACTGAAAAATTTTCACAGGTTTTCACATCAAATTGAATTTTGAGACATATTTTGTACGACTTCAACTACTCGTGAGCACGAATGAGAGGCATGAGAAAACTTGCAAGCATTCCACCTCATGTCCTCAAGCAGAATTTACTAGTACTCGTAGTTAGGGACTTTAAAGCTACTTTTAAAGAAAGTTTGTAAGGCTAGAATTTGTAGCTAAATCTAAATAGAATTTTGCAATTTCGGAAATCTGAGTATCATAAAATGATAAAAAGTTTGTTGTTGTGTTCGATAATAAGCTGTGTTTTTATAAAAAATAATAAACATTGGGCAAACAAAGAAGAATTTCCTAAATTGGTCAAAATGCCGTGTCGCTTTTATTTTTCACATGACTATATGTAGCATTAAAAATTCTCATTTAGCTAACGAAATAGTTGGAAAAGCTTTGTCTTTTAATATTTTTTAATAGTTGTAATAAAATTTAATATTTTTCTTTCAGGTTGCACTTCCAACTCCACCACGAGTGATTGTCATAAAGAATGTGATTTCGATCGTGTTAGCGAAGGCATCACGCTGCGAAAGGCTAGCAAAATGACTGGTAAGTGTAAACATATTTAAGATTTTGATGTTTATTATTGTCACTTAACAGCAGATATTTATATAAGAAGCTTTAAGAACATACTTAATTATACGATTAGACTTAGAGATGGAAGTTTATCCATGGCGACCAGCAAGATCGTATGCTCAATTTCATAAGCATGATACGGGCGTTTGTCGCATTTGAGAAGTGGCATGGTCATATCCCGACTCGGTGGGTCCAATTCCAAGGCATCCAACTGCCTCTCTTAGACTTCTAGGCTGACTGTAAGGCTTTCGGTGTTACGGCCGTCGAATTAGAGAAGCATACAAAAAAGGGTTGGTTAAATTATTTTTGGGTCGGTTTGGCACCAGCCGGGACTGAGTATTCCTTGTGTCTTGAGGTAACTTCATTTCCCGGATACTAGCAGGCGCTTCCCGGACGTCATGAAAAAATATTGCCGCATTTTTTGCTTGGGATGGTCCATACCACTGATGGAAAAGTAACTACAATTGTACTTTTTCAGCCCTTTTATAATTTGAAAGTATATTCTATACATCGATTGATATCATCAGGCTCAATTAATGCTAGGCCTATAAAAGGTATTGTTTCGACTGGGTTGGACCAAACGGAACGGTTAGTGAAGAGATGGTTTTCGGGTATTATGGAGTCGAGTTGGGATAAATAAGACCGGTGCTCGGGTCTCTCGGGTCGGCTGAAGCTCTTCGTTTGCAATGAGACGATTACCATGGACCGTGTCAAGAGGAACTGCTTTGATGACAACGTATTTACTTAGTCTTGCAGGTGATTTTCTTATGACATGCATTCAGGGGGTTCGAGGATTTTTCTACTAGATGTCGTTGTAAGAGTTTTTGTGCGCACCCAAGTTGCTTCCGTTTAGTGACCTGTCAACTTTATTTCTGTGTGCGGAAAAGTACTGTTAGAATTTAGGAATACCGCCAACTATTAAGTTGAAATTTATTTTGACCTTCCGAGTAGAGTGTCAAAACTATCCATATTCTTCTAATATTTCGCTGCTTTCGATTACATTTTGGCACTATCGATAGTCCGACAGACATGTGATTCATGTATGTATTCAAGTTCTGTCTCTTATTTTAATTTCATCACCACAAAATATTAAATTCCAGAAAATGCAATTCTTTTGAATTTCAATTCATTCAAAATTCTTTAAAAAAATTCTTTTAACTTAATTGTTAAACAATCAAAAAAACGTGTCTAGTAGGTTACAAGGGCATTCAACCGTCATTTTAGAATGTATTTTTTTTTTAATAAATCTTCATAAAAAAATTGCGCGAAATCTTTACACGATGCTATCGACGATATATCGATAGTCCTAAAAATGATATCGGGTACTAGCAATGGTCTGACTATTGATAGTTTTACAGCCCTACTACCGAGGTCATTTATTGAAAAGTTGGGTTGAAGAATTTAGTCAGCAAAATCATGCAACTGTGGCAGAAAATAGCTTCGTTCAATTGGAAGCTTAGCCTTTTCAAGTTTTGGGGTATCTGAATCTCAAATTTCTGTCACCTTCTCTTGTAAACTTAATTCGAATAATTTTATTGGAAATTTTAATTTTTAAAAATCTGCAATTCTTCTCTTTTTTTTTCTTGTAGCACGTAATGGAAAAACGCGATATGAAGTGACAATACGCTTGGGTGCCAACTTAACTGCCTTTTATCGCAACATGGATCCAGAAAGGCGCCCAAGCGATCATTTACCTAGTTTACTGGAGCGACATGTAAGTGAAAAATATTTTTATTTATATTAAATAACAATGCCAATTTGTAAAAATTATACTTGATACTGTCTGTTAAGTGCCAACAATAGATTCCCCGAAGCTCTAAATATTCATTGAAATTGCAAGTGCGTTTTTCTAAAAAGTTAAATGGAGTTTGCACTTATATACCTGACACCACAAGTACATACATATAGATTTTAAGCCAGGTTAGATATTTTTACTGCAATACCTTGTAATTATATGCGTACGTGCACGCGACCATAAGCATTTAAATTTAACCCATTTAACGACCCAAATTAATTCGAATTAGCCGAGAGTGTATTAACCAGTTTTACGACCCTTTCAACAGTTTACTCAAGCGCCATAAAAAAATTGATGAACGATGGTAGCAAGGGTCTATTTTTTGAATGCTTATTTGTTCAATTAACAAATTTTCACGGCTATAAAAGTTACCTTCAAATTAGGAAATAGTGCAAAGTAAGGGAATTTAAGTGTTACCAGACAAAAATTCCATATTTTCTTCATTTATGAATAAATTTTGTTCAATTAACCAAAAAGGTTGACAAATCAGTTTTCTTAAAAACTGTATCAGCGGCTGTCAGTTTGTTTGACTTTGGCCTGAACTTTGGTCTTCAAACGGGCAATGAAGGCAACGCTCGCTGCCCGCAAGTAACTCTGAGGTATATGTATTTTCCCTTTCCTGAAGAAGCGCTTGTTTGAGATGCTGCTCTGATATATTTTATACTCAAATTTTTTTACCTACCCTAGACGCAAAAGTCAAGTGGTTTTGGACCATCGGTGGTGTCTGCCTTCTGGTGGTCATTCGAGTGGCAAGTATTTTTTAAGCGAAAAAAAAACAACCTACTTCATTGCGCATATACACCTTTTAGTTTGGCCGTTTGAAGGCCATAGTCTGATACCGTTTTTAAGATAACTCATTTTGAAACGATTTTTTGTACTAACAGCCAGTTTCACCAAACTATTTAAGTGGAAATTAACTTTAATTTAATTTTGTATTTAATTCTCATTTAAATAATTTTCAGTTTCAATAAACTATTTATTTAAGTGAGTAAAAAGTGGTTGTAAAACAGACTAGGACTAGCTTTCGCTTTCATTTGTACTGAGAGCTTTTGAAAGCTTTGGCACGCTGTGTTGTAAAAGCAGGGCTGGTATACAAGTAAGCAGCAG